CAGGATCCTGAGTTGAGTCGACATTTTCAAGATGTTGATGAGGAACCTGTTCCACAACTTCATTCTACTCGCCATCCTGCCTTAACTTCTACCAGTTCTACACCGATTGTACAAACTGTGCCCGCTCCTAAACCTCCACACATCGAGAAGTGGAATTTAAAGTTTTCTGGAGATGGAAAAAAGTGGACTGTCTATAACTTTCTCGAGCGAGTTTCTGAGCTTCAACTAGCTCGTGGCATGACTGAACGACAGCTTTTTGAGTCAGCCATAGATCTTTTCGAAGGTAAAGCACTTAATTGGTTCCGAGCAAATAAAGGTCGATTTCATGATTGGACTAGTCTGTCAGAGTTGTTGCGTCGTCACTTTGAGCCTCCGGACTATCGGGCCAGACTTTTCAAGGAGATTTTGGAGAGAACTCAGGATACTGCTGAGACCATCGTCGACTATCTTTCTTGCATGCAAGCCTTATTCAGGCGTTATGGTGGGTTGTCTGAAGCAGCTCAGCTTGACATTCTATGCCGAAATTTGTCCCCGTTCTATACGACTCAACTCCCTGTGGTTAATACCTTGGAGGAACTTGAGACTGAATGCCTCAAGCTTGAAACCAAGAAATATAGAGCCGAAAATTATGTACCACCCTCTAGGAAACGGCAACAGTTTGTCGAGCCTGATTTTGCCTTTGTGGCTGTTGAGAATTCTCCATTCCCCTCTAGTGAAGCCCCAAGCTTTAACAATGTTGAGGAAGCTTGTGAAGTTCAACATCATAGAAAAGAGCCCCTCAAGGGATTACTTTGTTGGAATTGTCAAAAATCTGGCCATCTTAATCGCAATTGCCCCGATCCTAAGAAGACTCACTGTTATCGTTGTGGTGCCCCTGGAGTCACAGTTCGTTCCTGCCTCAAGTGTTCGAATTCGGGAAATGCTTCCCGAGGGAATTGTTAGGCCGTGCCGTTCTCTCTGATTCTTTCGATTCGTCGGCCAATTCCTTAGATTACGACAAGAAAATAATTTTGGACTATATAATTTCTCATGCCAATGGTGACCAACATCTTTTATTGATTAATAAAATTATGTAAAACACTTTTTGTTTGTTGTTTATAAGTGTCCTGGGGGTCGCTGACGCACACCGATGGGGAGAACGATCAAGTTGTTTAATTGTTTGTTTTGTTATTTTTCATTTATTTTCTTTTAACTTTAGTAAGCAAGTTGCACCAGATAGGTGTTGGTTATTCTTATTATGGTGTTGAGCCTTGAGCTTTAAGTTGAATCACATTAATTTGTGAATTTTTTTTTTTCTGTACACCTTGCATTTTGCTTAGTCTCCTGATCTATCGATAATAGTAGTCACTTTTTTTTTTGTAAGCTCACAAGTCGGATCGTCGGAAAAGTTCCTTTGTAACTTTCCCTCCTGTTGAAGGAGAGGGGGAGTTGTAACGTGCCAAAATTTACCTTTGTTTCTTTTAAATTTTATTCTGTAATGGGTACCTATTCCTCTATTGAAGATTACTTTTGCAACAACGATTTTTACCATAATAATTAACAAGCAACACTTATTAATTAAAACGGCAGAGTTATTTATTTTGTAAACAAACATTTTCATACGTAACCTCAAAATTCGGTATTTAATTTGCCCTAATTTGCATTTAGTTACGGAGTGCCGCTCCTTGTGGTTTGGTGCAATGTTTTGGGTACCGTAGCACCGCTCCCTGTGATGTTTATCCAGTTTTATTAGCAGCCAACTTCAGTCACGGCTATTTCACGCGGTTCGATGACAGTTAACCATAAGGATGTGCTCTGCTTGTCGATTTATTCATCGTTCGATTTTCTAACTTGTACTCAATCCATAAGGAAATACCTTATTTTCTTATTCATAAAGGTATCTGCCTAGTGTCAAGGTGTTGTTTGTTCGGTTATTGAATTCTAGTTTCCCTCCGAGTGAAGTGTAGTCGGAGTAATTTTCTTCATCGTTGTGGCTAAACCTGCCCATCTCTACTAGTAAATTGTCAACTTGGTAACTGACCTGTTGTATTTTGGGGTCTTTTCTACCTTGCAAGGCGTAGGTGAAGGAGATAAAGGGTTATTTTTGATTTTACCCGTTTATGGGGATTTAAGCCCTTTGGTTCTCTATAAAATTAAATTGTAGTAATTTATCTTTTGGTTCTACCTTACCTGACTTCTACAATTTAGACCGTTTTACGGATTTGAGCACCGTTCGTCTGGTAAGTCCAATTTGTACCTGTTATATGCACGTGGTTCCTTCTTCAACCCCTTTTTCTTTCAATAACTTTAGCTTGGTGATTTGATTTGGCCCTTACGACGATCTAAGGACTATTAGGAGACATTCCTGTTCCTGAACGTGTCCCACGTTTTGTTGAATAAGCAAGAAAACCCTGTTGCACAGGTAATTAAGTTTTTCATAGTTTCTTTTAAGGGGGCAATTTAATTCCAGTTCGCTGGAAATCTCTTTATTAATGACTGGAAAATAAAAGTAAATTCAAGAGTTCTCTTATATAACAGTTTTTCTTTCCTAGGGTTTTTTTTTTTATGCTGAGGGTTCTCCTTTACTGGGTTTCTCAGTCAAGATTTCTACCTCCTTCCTACCAGTTCTTCGACTTACCCTTCAAATATCTGCCTTTATTCAGCGGCTCATGGCCTGAGTGTCTCCAATAAACAGTGACCGCAGGATCGAAGAACTTGATCTAGGATTGGTATCGTAGAAACCCTTTTACCGTACAAGTTTTTTTTTGTTATGTAAACTCACATTCTTTAAATTTTCTTTATAAAATCATAATATCTAATCATTTTTTTTATATTTACCAAAACTCTTTTCTGGGTAATCCCGTTGTAAATTTTCAAGTAAATTTTATGGTCAATTTTATCAATTAAATTTTATGCTCAATTTTATTAAATATCCGTTTAATAACCGATTGTGTAGCTCAAGTTAGCGACTTACAAACATTCCAATTATTGATTAATCAAATCCCTACTTTGATTACCTTTCTCATTGAGTATAATTACTGTTTATAAATTTATAGCCTGGTATGTAAACCAAAGTGATCACCGAGGTATTAGAGTTACGAAGTTAGGTACTTTTGGTAATCAAGAAGACAAGGTAATTGATTGGTTTTTTGTAATTAACAACTTTGATTTATATTTTGATAATCGTGGTACTATTTGAGGTTAAACAATTGAGCAACATTGAGTTGGTTGGTTTAATGATTTACTATTGATTATTGATTATTTTGCTGATTATTAATTACTTCATTATTAATTACTGATTATCAATTACTACATTTAGGTAGATCGATTAATTATTGACTGAATTGATAATAATATTTTTTTTTAGGATTCATTTTGTCCTGTTTTTTTTTTAAGATTAAAAACAAGCTCTTGAATTTAATTAGTGTTTCATTTGGCTTCGCAAGCTTATACAATACTGGACAACGTTTTTTTTTATTAACTGCTTTCTCTTATAGTGTAATTGGGTTGGTGCGTTTCAGAAAACATCCTGAGGGATTCTGGCTATCCTGTCTGTCAGCCAGTGGCGCCCATAAATAAACCCACCCTACTCTCCAATAAATTTTCTGAGCTGGGGTTAATTTGCCGTGCTCTCAAGACACGCGTTGATCCAAAAGCACTTTTGTTCTTTATCAATTTAGGTATCTTTTCTTTACAATTTTTTTTTTTTTTTTTTTTTAATTTTTAGATTCATTTTAAACCAAGAGCGTGGCAAAGCGTCAAGATTTAATGAAATTTTGACATGGTCAAAATCGGGCTATCACCATAGCTTCCTATCTAGGAAGCTAAAAAAAACACAGTTTAATTTTTTTGAAACTTTGGAACAGTACAGTTTATTTTTTTCCAAGATAGATTTTGGCATTGTCAACTTTGAAACATAAACAATGCCGCTAATGCCGCTTATTGGTCGCTATTGTAAAACTGATGTCAACCTGCAGGCAGAAACACCTCATTTTGCCACCAATCAGGGTCAAGCGTTATTGTTTATGTTTCAAAGTTTTCAATGTCAAAATCTATCTTGGGAAAAAATAAAGTGTAGATATTTATTTTATCAGGAGTATAAGTAATACTTATGTGATGCGCATGGAAGTGTGAACGCCGAGCGCAGCGAGGCGAATCAAATCCATGCAAGTCACCATGAAGAATACTTATACTCCGAATGAAATACAATATTTTATTTTCAAACAATCATTATTGCGAATAGTGCAGAATTTTTAATTCAAATTATGACATTCATATTTAGAAGGTTCACCTTTATAAGCACCTATACCTGTATGTGCAGGTGAATTACCTTAAATCACTATGGAAAAACATGTGTAACGGCGTATGTTATACTCCGGCGCGGCGGAGTATAATACTTATACGCCGCTCAAGCTGAAAGTCATTGAAGTGACGCTTATACCTTGTCAAAATGATCACAGAAATAACTTATATGACGTTTGAAAATAAACTAAATTTTCACAATTTTATTTATGTGTAATAGATTTCCATCATCTATGAATACTTGCGATGATAACTGAATAAGTTAAGAATAATATGTTACACTCATTTATCTACAGTTTCAATATAAAACAATTAATGAAAAGAAAATTAATGCTCGGTATTCTACTGTTCTGAGATTTGAACAACAAATTGACGCTGGCTGTAGAACTTTGATAATGCATCCGGATGGTGATAATATTGCTTTAAATTCAGAATAAGTAACATAATTCAAAAAATCATCACTGACAGAATTCCTGGGATGAATTTTTTTTCTGAACCTTCATAAAACCTTTATCCGAATGATTATCTTCACTTTATGGAGCTGTTTTTCTCGTGACGACCTCGACCAGACACCTTTTTTTTTCCGCAAATATCTTTCGCAAACATGTTCTATGTGTCAATTTTGCCCCTCACAAAAGAAAGGGTCGCAAATATCAACGGTTACGATAAGGCTCGTTATTAACTCGTCTCTTCACGTTGGAAATATTAAAAACGATTCCCTATTTTCTCACCTTAAACGGTTCTACGGAAGCAAAGTATTGCTCAAACTTATTAAGTCTACTAAAAAATGCATCCATTTGTTTGTTCTTTAAACGTTTTTGAATAATTAGTATGATTTGCATCAAATCTTTAACTACTAGATCCTCAGAATCACACATTTTTGCTTGTTAAAGTTTTTGGAGCAATTGAGAGACTTTTTTACAGTCATAAATACCTTCACTTACTTGAAAAGCAACATTTTCCCGCTCTGATTGCGTAGATGCAGACGCAAACCAGCAATAGGCAACCGACTAATAGGGCACCGGCCACGCTCACTAGAGTGATCATTTGTAGTGGCTCTGAAAATAAAATTTTATTGAAGCAAAATAAAATTTCAATTCGCCAATTACTGTAATCAAGGAAAGGGAGGCTCGTTCGCTGATTACAGAAAATGGAAATTAGAATAGTTCCCAGGGAGGTCGTTTTAATATTTTCATTTTTTTGAAACGTTCCAGTTGTCTGGAGACGACGACTTTTCCTCGAATATTATTCTGATTGCTTTTACCAAGATAAAATATGAATTCTCTCATAATGCGATAAGAATATGTATTTGGGTCTGGAAAATCATTTAGAATAGAACAAGGTACTGAATTGTTTTTGACAATTGGTGTAACGTAGGTATCGATGTGGAAAGTATTTCATTACTATGGAGTATTCAGACACCAGTGTGAGAAAGAAATGAATATGCAATTTTCGACTATTTCCAATTTCAAAATTTCGACAACTCTGGAAGTTCATGAATTATATTAGGTTTCATTCTTCCAATTTAAAAATTCTGAATGCTCCGTGTGTCATAAATTTTGCTATAAAATATAAAATTCCAAATTGCAACGTAACTTTTGAAATTTGAATTTTAAAACACGTAAAAATCGAGGCAAGAATTAAAAATAACAGCAAAATCACCACTCAAAAGAGTAAAACTTCTGCTTTGGGAAAAATAATACGTTTAGTCTACTCACCATTCACGTATAATTGAACGGCATGCGTATCCTTGCCCTTGTCGTTTTCCACGAGCAAATAATATGTCCTCGAGTCTGTCGCTGAAGTATCTTTGACGTGGAGTGTGGTTAAATAGCAGTCTTCTCCGTCTTCTTGAGTTAAGTCGTCCACTTTGAATTTTCCTGAAATAATTGATAAATGATGAGCACATTTTTTTTATAATAACTTAGGATATAATGGACAATGTAAGTTGACGTGTAACAAATCTAAAAGAAATTACCATAGTTTTTTATCGGCTCTAATTGTTAAGGCCGGAATTTAGATGTTTTATTTTAATGTTATCTTTATCTAGCTGTACTGTTTATTTGACTATTGATTTACATTCTATTTTTTATCAGTCATCGCCACATGAAATTGCTTAAATCGTTCTCGTATTCTCATAACTAATTTTAAGCTTTTTAAGCCTTGGGTTCCTGTAATTGGGTTGAACATGGTTGTACAAGGTGTAAATTTGAAAACTGTCAATGCGAATATCTCTGAAAGTAAAAAAGTTAGAAAAACGTAATTTGGTACAAATGTTATACAGGTTAGGGGAATTGGGAACTTGCACATTTTTTTTTATATCAAAAATGTGTTCTACTACACTAAAGACTTGGTCATACCAAATATCGAGCATTAAAAATCAGCCGTTAATTTTTTATAAATATTTAAAGTTACGCTCGGAAAATCACCATTTAAAACGACCAATTAGTGTGACGTCACTCGGCAACAAAATTCCGTTGACAGTGACGAGCACTTCCAACTTCGAGCAGGTAGATTTAGATTATGGTTATGTTGCTATGTATGCCATTTACAATAGATTTGACATTGGCAACACCAGCAGCACATGGCGTGGCAGCGGCGCGACCCGATTATTACTGCCTTGTGACGTCACGACTCATGAGAAAACGTTTTCGATCGCGTCATGAAATTTGAATTATTTGGTATTTTCAATTGAAGATTTTGGACACCAGAGATAAGATATTACTTTTTTTTCCTAACTGCATAAATTATTAGGATGTTTGTTATTGTGTTTTATTATTCATTCCATTTTTAATTTAATGTGCAAGTTCCCTATTAGAACCACCATATTTTGGTTAGGGGGTGAGTGACCCCTTGGATCCCATGCGCCCCAACCGCAAAATTTTAAATGGCACTACCTCTTTTATGATACCTAAAATTGAATATTTTCGAGTAGTGTTTATCTGCACAAGATTTTTTTCTAAATCTAATACATTGCCAAACAAAAATTACAATTCATATAAAATAAACTCTGTTTTTATGAAATGCTATTTTATATAATTAGATGCTCAAAATGCATTCCATTTTGGGCTAAACAAAAATATAATCTATTTTCAAACTCATTCCCTACATTCTGGAACAATTCTCTTGGAATAGATGCATATTCTGTAATAATCCGTTGCCGAAGATTGCGTTTTAAACACAACAGTTTTGAAGTGGCCTCAGAGAAAAAAGTCGAGGTGTGTTAGATCTGGTGATCTCGCCGGCCATGTTCCATTGAACCTCTTCTCCCAATCGACTGATCTGCAAACGTATCATTTAAAAATTGCCTCACAGGAAGAACATGGTGGCACTCCATGTGTTGAAAATGTATCAAATCTTTGTTTAGGTTCCTACCCCCATTAATATATAACTGATTTTCTATTCCTTAAACAATGAGATGATGAATGGTTTCAAAAATTTCCAACTAAGTATATCCAATGAGATTAAAATTAATAAATAAGAATCGAGCATTAGTATCACCCAATATTCCCGCTCACATATATATATATATACGTATAAAGTCACCTATACGAAGCCCGTTATGTACTATCGACGAATGGAAGCCCGGTTTAGGGGGTGCCGGCGGTAAACTGAAATATACATCGTGTTTATATTGCTTCGATTTTACGAAGCCCAGCGGTGTTGCCGCGAAAACCTAAATTATATTTTTTAGTGTAAAGTACAATTATTATCCCAATTGATCTGTGAGGTGAACACCTGGGCTAGTTTGTTGAATTTTATTCCAAAGCAGCACGGTTAAAGGAATCTTATTATCTTATACGAGTATAAACTGTATGTATGTATGTATGTATGTATTTTCATTCATGCTATCTTGAGAACGGCTCTAACAATTTTTTCGATAGTTGGTATTTAAGGGTTTTTCAACCTCGAGAATCCAATGGGCTTGGTCAAATTTTCCGGAAAACTCGTGTCATTTGTCAAATGTGACAGGTGCAGATTTTTGAACCATTTCTTCGCAACGGATTTTGCTAAAATTTTGCATACACTTTAAGTTCGGGTGATAATACATCTTACACCAAAAATGACAGGTGTCAACGTGTAACTGTCAAATGTGACAGGTGCAGATTTTGGAACTATTTCTTTGCAACAAATTTTGCTTAAATTTTGCATACCCTCTAAGTTCGGGTGATGATACATTTTAGTCCACTAATGACAGATTTCAACTGTCAAATGTGACAGGTGAAGATTTTTGAACCATTTCCTCGCAACGAATTTTACTGAAATTTTGCATACACTTTAAGTTCGGATGGTAATACATTTTAGAATACTAATGACAAATGTCAACTGTCAAATTTCGACAGGTGCAGATTTTTGAACCATTTCTTCGCAGCGGATTTCGCTGAAATTTTGCATACACTTTAAGTTCGGGTGATAATACATCTTAGACCAGAAATGACAGGTGTCAACGTGTAACTGTCAAATGTGACAGGTGCAGATTTTTGAAACCATTTCCTCGCAACGAATTTTACTGAAATTTCGCATAAACTCTAAGTTCGGGTGATGAAACATTTTACTCCACTAATGACAGATTTCAACTGTCAAATGTGACAGGTGCAGACTTTTGAACCATTTCCTCGCAACGAATTTCACTGAAATTTTGCATACACTTTAAGTTCGGGTGGTAATACATTTTAGAATACTAATGACAAATGTCAACTGTCAAATTTTGACAGGTGCAGATTTTTAAACCATTTCTTCGCAGGGGATTTCGCTGAAATTTTGCATACACTTTAAGTTCGGGTGATAATACATCTTAGACCAGAAATGACAGGTGTCAACGTGTAACTGTCAAATGTGACAGGTGCAGATTTTGGAACTATTTCTTTGCAACAAATTTTGCTTAAATTTTGCATACCCTCTAAGTTCGGGTGATGATACATTTTAGTCCACTAATGACAGATTTCAACTGTCAAATGTGACAGGTGCAGATTTTTGAACCATTTCCTCGCAACGAATTTTACTGAAATTTTGCATACATTTTAAGTTCGGGTGGTAATACATTTTAGAATACTAATGACAAATGTCAACTGTCAAATTTTGACAGGTGCAGATTTTTGAACCATTTCTTCGCAGTGGATTTGAAATTTTGCATGCACTTTAGGTTCGGGTGATAATACATTTTAGACCAGAAATGACAGGTGTCAACGTGTAACTGTCAAATGTGACAGGTGCAGATTTTGGAACTGTTTCTACATATTTGGTTCTTTGGACTTATTGATTTTTTAAATAAATGTTTTCGAAATGATTGATTCTCGAAAAAAAAAGCATTCCAAATAAAAGATTCGAAATATCTTTCTCCAAAATATGAACATAGACCCCAATATTTTATATTAAAATATTTTGACCTTGCGTTTTTGATGAAAATCAAATATTTATCCGCCTTTTATTTTCTTTCTACTAAAAACGCAAGTTTTAAATATTTCAGAATAAAATGTTGCGTTGAAATTCCAGTTTTGACAGATGTATGAAATTCTCAAGTGAACATGAGTAGTGTTGGAGTTCACTTTAGTTGTTGCTGGGGCTAGAATATGAGGCTTACTTGATGTAAGATGCTGGTGGAGAGTTTATTTTGGTGGTGATGCTTCTTATGTTGCAGAAGTTCAGTCGCAGTCTATTTTCTGGCTTGGATGAGCTCAGGCCTGATGGTTCTTCCAAGCCAGCTCCACCAGGAAATTCGAATGAGAGGCTATTATTATAAATAATTGACCAGGAAGGGATTTACTACAGGTTCTTATTCTCTATAAAACATTTTCCTTTCATCCTAAAAATACCGTTCATGGATTCAAAAGCAAAATTTATCATCTGCAGCGTTACGGTTTAAAGTATCCCGTTTTAACTACAAACTTGCGGGAAACCGATCAACGATCGGGTTATGGTCTCATTCATAAACATAATCTATCACAATGTGTACCTACACTATTAGAATCGATTTTTAGCGGATACCCGGCGTGTGCTACTACGCTAAAAAAACAAGTACAGTTTGTTTGTTGAAAAAAGCAAATTTTTGAAGGCGGGTTTTTAAAGTCCTGACAACCTGCCCACCTCTCCATCTGTCACATTTGACAGTTGACATCTGTCAATTTTTTTCAACGTCTTATGGCTTTTCCAATTCTGAACACCAGGCAGGCATATGACCCCCTTTTGTCATATTTTGACCGCTGACATCTGTTAAAAATAACATTTGACAGCTGTTGAGTATTCCAAATTGTATTATCACCCGAACTTGAAGTGTATGCAAAATTTCAGTAAAATGCGTAGCGAAGAAATGGTTCCAAAATCTGCACCTATCGCATTTGACAGTTGACATCTGTCATTAGTGTTCTTAAATGTATAATCACCTAAAATTAAAATGTGAGCAAAATTTTAGCAAAATCCGTTACGAAGAATGGTTCAAAAATCTGAACCTGTCAGATTGAACAGTTGACACCTGTCATTAGTAGTCTAAAATGTATTATCACCCGAACTTTAAATGTATGCAAAATTTCAGCAAAATCCGTTGCGAAGAAATGGTTCTAAAATCAGCACCTGTCACATTTGACAGTTGATACCTGTCATTAGTGCTCTAAAATATATTATCACCCGAACTTGAAGTGTATGCAAGATTTCAGCAAAATCTGTTGCAAAGAAATGGTTCAAAAATCTACACCTGTCAAATTTGACAGTTGACACCTGTCATTAGTAGTTCAAAATGTATTATTAACCGAACTTGAAGTGTATCCAAAATTTTAGCAAAATCCGTTGCGACGAAATGGTTCAAAAATTTGCACCTGTCACATTTGACAGTTGACACCTGTCATTAGTGGTCTAAAATGTATCATCACCCAAACTTGAAGTGTAT